CTATTAATTGACCCTTTATAACAAGCGTAGCCAACCTGAATCAGTTGGATTGCAGACAAATAAATGAAAATCCTGCCTCAGGAGGAAATTTTTCTTCCTAAAAGCTGAACTGATGAATGTTACGATAAACTACTTGAGACAGAGTAAGTAGTCCCATGAACTCTCAATAGTTATTTGATGAGAGTTAGGCTTACTGAGTTTTTCCACAATCAGATAATTAGGCCTCACAATGCCATTGGATATCAATTAATCTCGCCATTGTACGCGATTCTGGAAGTTGGTATTTAAGTATAACGGAAATTCTCGAACAAAACTACTCCCTAATAAAGATGGCGTGAGTAATGCTATAAAAGATTAAAAAATGTTGATGAAAACTAGGCTGACGTTAGGTTATTTTTCATGAGTTATTGCGACCTAAGCTGAGTCTAGTTTTTAGGATAACTAACTCCGAAATCAGGGCTCGTTTGAGGGACAAATTGAAGCAGGACAAGAACATGCAGTAGAGCGATGCCGAGGGAATGATCGGCTGTTGTACGATTTAGTTCGGCATATTTCCAGAGCCTCGGTTGGTTTGAAACCAAAAGGACGTTTGAAGATGAACTTGGCAGTTATGCACATTTTAATCAGGCCTGTTGAAATGGCCTGCGAGTTGTATGAAATTTCTCTTTCTTTCTACTCCATACTTGGAGGATCCGCGTACCACATTCTTTAGGCAATGTTGCATTGGTTCCGATTGCTTCAGTGGCGCTCCATTGTACCTTCCATGCAGCATCCCAAACGACCTCGAGCTCAAAGCCATCCTCAGCAAATACCACGCTTGGGTGCACTACTTCGTTGGTACCCCCAACAATCCGCAGGACCTGGCACGTGTGAACCTGCGTGACGCACGAGCCGCAATCGTCCTGGCAACGCCAAGTTCCAGTCGGAGCGAAGAGGAGGACGGGGCCAATATAATGCAGGCGATCACATTGAAGGCACAACGCGAACGACTTCGTGTGATGGTCCAGTTGCACCACTTCAGAAACAAGGTAGGCAGCGCAGACTCGAGTAGACCGTATTGAACTGCTTAAGACCTCATCTTCCGATGTGCATTTTATGTCGGCCCCAGTGATCTGATTTCTTAAGGAGCCGGCATAAACGTATCTTTTGGAGCTAAATCCCCATCCTTGAGCCAAAGGAGAGAGCTATTTTTGGATAACCTTTAAAAAGATAGGTTGACTGGTAGTTAAATTTTTCCACAATCATATGAGTAGTAGCCTTGTTTTCC